AGAACAGGACTTTGTTGGACTTGTTGAGTCCGAGAAAGAACAAGAAGCAATCGCAGCAAAAGTTTTCTGTTTGGATGAGGAAAATGAAGGATCTGACAGTGAAGCAGATGATAGCGGGTGGGAGGATGATGATGAGGATACTGGAGACTACTTTTATGACTGAAAACTAGCCTGTATGTGTTAAATAATTAACACAAATTAGGCACAGATTTCAGATAAATGTGTCATTTTTAACTGTACTTTTTCATTCCAAATTAAAGATGAATGTGTAAGAATGTTAGTAAATTAGAGACTAGCCAAACTTGTAATGAACTACATACACGTTGTTGTTTAGCCTCTTGTAACTTCAAGGCCCATTCTCATGTATTGTAGAATCAGATTAATATCAAGGACGTTAATGTTATCATAAACCAAGCAAACATGGAGTTATAAAATAACCAGTTTATTTTCATTTGATTTGTTATTAAATACATGTATCACACTTTGCTCTTTCAAACTTGCAATTACTTTCTTTACTCTTGTTTAACAAAAGACATGCAACGTTATGGCTACGGTTATTTTAATAAAAAAAAAGGTATCTGAACATCCCATTTTGCGTCTCAAAATGCTGGAAAATGCGTCTAGAATTTCAAAATTTCCTGGGGGAGCATGCACCCAGACCCCCCTAGGGGGCAAGCCCCTTCGGGCCTTGCAACTCCTACCTCACTCAACGCAACTTCTACTTTCAAAAGTTGTGAAAACACTGGTTTACACCGTACACCACTTAAACGGATTCGTGTCGTAATCTCGGAACTGAGAAATTTGGAGAAACTATATTTTCCCATAACTTTCCTTACTGGAAACCGCCGTCACTTATGACCTTACTACGCACGCGCGGCCGCCATTGTGTCCCAAATTTCTGCTGTTGCACGCAGGTTACCAAAGGGACACGCCATAAAACGTCTGTAACAAGTTCATCCTAAAGAAACTCCACGATAATTTATCATACGCTCGAACTAAAATTACCTTTTAAACTACCCGACAATGGAATCTGTGACTTTACTTTGTACAGACGACTTTAGTTTGCGACTCAGCCAGGTGGGCTGAATATTAGACAGAACCTTTGATGAAGGTCAATTGCCGTTTCTGATAGGTTTTCACAGCAAGATACTCAGTCATAGACAGTGTACAGATAAACCGTGTCTTTAAAGCGAGGTTGAGGATATATGGGAGTTTGTGACTCGGGAGACAGGAAAATGTCCGTTTTCAAACCGGTGTCCGATGAACTTTTCGTCGGTACATACGTTATATACAGGTGTTCGTAGGCGAAGTTCCACTGTGTGTTCAAATGCGCATACACTTGTCTTCTCAGTCTCGCTGTCACTTTCCCCAATATAAATTACGAACCAACGAATCAGCCACACTGTCGCAAAGCTCGAGAGGAAAATACAAGGTTCCCTGTAATCTGATATTTGTGCTGGATTATTTTCAAAGTAAACAGGGTTAAACAGTAACAAAAAAACTCACTATCAATCATTATATCCTCCAACTCTAGTGTGGATAATGAACCTGCTGTGCTGTCACAGAAACTCCTCCATAACACATCACCTGCTTTACTTCCATCAAGCTCTGTGGCTACACTTTCAATCTAAACACCAAAAAAAATCGTAATAAGTACATTGCTGACTCAAGCAAAAACTGCCAACTGATTACAGTATTTAATCGAATAACCGCCGCCCTTGAATAAGCGCCGCGGCCCCTATATGACTATACAATCAAAATCGAAAGAAGCTGATTCTGTTAGTTTTATACTTTAAATAAAAATACCGTAGTTGAAACAATTCTCCGTCGCGTCCAACTTTCAAATAAACGCCGTCCTCGAATAAGCGCCGTATTTGAGAGTGAAAAATTTAACAAGCGCCGCTTATTCGAGTAAACATGGTAATTTTTGAAATTACTGCAGGAACTCTCAGTCCATCCTCATATTTTCCGAACAAAAGGAGACGAAATAATATTGTAACAGGAAAACAGGTTTTATCCTTCATCTTTTCCGGTTTTGAATTGATAGATAAGGCGTGTAAACGACGCAATGCCTAGTTTACAGCCAGGAGCAATTCAAGTGTAAGTTCGCAGGCCCTGAAAGAGAAATCAATGCCAAAGAAATAACAATTATTGCAAGGAAGGACAACAACAATATCGGAAGGAAACCAGAGAGTAGCCTCGTACCCGTCTGGGGTGGAGATATGAACTGACGACTGTAAGAAAGTTAGACTGTTCAAGCTGACTTATTTTTCGAACTAATTTTTCTGTACTTACCGCCCCTACCCCCTCCCTCTCGTTTCACTGTTACTCGTCTCCTACTTCATCAAATAAAAATATGAGAAAACAGAGGGCTGCGAACAGCAGCCTTTCAGAAAAAAGTTACAGTGCCCCGTTCTCATGGACAATAAAGACCATAAACCACCCGCAATGTACTACTGAGAAAAATAGTATTCAATAGAAATCACTGTTTGACAAGTGTTTTTATATTTTATAAAGATGAAGCACACGACCACCTTTAATATATTGGCATGGCTCCAAATGTATGTAAAGCTTTAATATATCTATCAAAGTTTTTTTGGCTTCGATGAACTCGCCTTTCGTGTTTTACCAAGTCTTAAGCCCACTCAGCTGCGTCAGGGCCCAGTTCCACGAGAGATAGTTAAGTTTCACCCAGGATTAAACAAAAGTTTAAGGTTTTCTTTTCTAAAAACAGGCCGAAAACTAGAGCTTACAAAAAAGTGTTGAGCCTTTACTCCGAGATACAGTAATGATAATTTAAAATGTTACTCTAAGCAATACATAGAATAGCATACCAATCCCTTGCTAAGCGCCGCTCTCGAATTCGCATCGAAGTATGACACCATTTGCGACGACGAACGACATATGATCCTTCAGGCAAAGAGCTCTCTTCTCTACAATTTTGGTAAACCATGGAGCAAGAAAACGTCACCAAACCTCTTCGATGTGACCATGGGCAGCTTCGATGGCGCCGAACGGTCACACGAACTTGTGGCACTTACCTCCCCCACAACATCAAAGAGAAGTTTGGTAACGCATGCAACTTTGGCTTGTACAAAGATGACGGTCTAGGCGTAACTAAGGCGGCGGCGGCTACTGCTGCTGCTAATAATAATAATAATAATAATAATGATAATAATAATAATAATAATAATAATAATAATCTATATACAATGGTTACAGGGTTACAGGGTTGAACAGTTCAACGTAATAATTGACGTACTGGGGGGTTACTCTAAACAGCTAGAGAAGTCGGTGAGGAAGCTACTTGGAGCGAGAGCACGGAGCGTACTTGAGCGAATGCAGAAGTCGGTCATCTCAAACACTTTAAACATTGCCAGAACATTTAAGATAAATACTTAGTTAGGGCGCTATGGACTTCAGTTTTTAGGTTTTTGTTTTTTCTCTAGAAATCTAGAAACACAAGCTTGCTGACGTTTTTATTTAGATTTTTTAGAACATTAGAGTGTGATATTATTATAAATATGTTTTTAGTAGAGATAGCGAAGGTTTTACAGAGTATCAGAATTTAATAATATTCTAAATTGGCTTTTTAAGTAGAGAGATTTATATCACTATGTATAAGCTTTTAGTAGAGATAGCGAAGGTTTTACAGAGTATCAGAATTTAATAATATTCTAAATTGGCTTTTTAAGTAGAGAGATTCATATCACTATGTATTTTAGGATTGTATTAGGTTTCGTATCGACCTTTTTTTACTTCTAAGTATAGCTTCTCAAGTGGTGTAGGTTACGCTATGCGCCCTATACTACTCATAATGTGGACAGCATTCCAAAGTTTCATACTGCGACATAATAATAATAATAATAATATATTTTGGGATTTCATTTATATGTATTTTTTTATTTTTTTCACTACTAACAATTTTACTCAACTTTGAAAATATGCACTTAATTTACAGAAATATTTGAAGTAAGAATTTAAAAGCACTATAGAACATTAAGAATTATATCAGTCATAAGAATAGAATCAATCTGTCAATAACGATTTCCCAAAAACTTTCCTTGTGGCTTAGATGCGATAAATAACTCTACCAGGCAGTCCAGTGTTTTAAATTAAGTCATAACAAAAGAAAATTATCCGTCTCTGGTATTAAAAAGAAACAAGTTAAAAAGAATAAAACCTCGTATTAAGATTAATTCGGGCAGGCTCTAATGTTTTCGATCTGTAAATCTTAGTCAACAAGGTCTAGCTATCGTCCTCTAGATCACCTAGAATATATACAACAAACTGTAGCGCTGCGTGGAGTTGATCGACTGAATTCGCGATCTCTTCCATCTAGCCAGTCAACTCTTTCAAATCGGGACCAGAATTTTTTTAGACTTAAGTTAGCCCACACTCGGAACTTGTTGAGATCATCGTAAGATTTGCGGTAGAATACTTACTCTGGCTCCAAAGGTCGGTTCTCCAAATACTTAGAATGAAATAAACCGTGCTTACGGTTGATAATCGTAAGGAATTAGATGCAACAAAAAACATAACCTCTGGAACCCAGGGTATAGAATACTAGACTGTTCAAGGTCTCGACGTCCGCTGGTTCTTGGTTACCGGCACATTACTTCTCTTAATAAACGGTTGAAGGTTCTCACAATTTTGTCTCAAGGAAGCGATTTAGCCCTTGAGTTTGTCGTTTTCTTTTTTTAGAGAGCTCACAGTTATATTTGGCATGGGTTGATTTCGAAAGAAGGCAAAGCCGTCTATCCCTTCTCGTGGCCAAATTATACCATTTTTTTTGAATTCCTGAAAACGAATTTAAGAACATCTGATGATCCCGTTTCATACGCATGGGAAGTAATTATGCGACTGCTCTGTTTTGCTTCTTGTTTTTTTTTTTTTTAATTTTACTGAATGGCCCAGACAGAATCACAGTAATCCAAGATAGGCTGACTTGAAGAACATATATTCTGTTTAAGACACATTTAAACTGAGCTTATTTGCCAGTAACCAAATGTATGATAAGCATTTTTTTTCTCGTACAGCAAGTATTAGATAGATATTTATAGGATCTCGAGAACTGCATAAGTCTCGAAGGGCTTCCTGGTGACTTAAATATATTTTGTTTATTACACAACTCAAATTTTGGCGCACTTACTTTAAAAAAAGGTCACAAGGAAGGTGAAACCACCCATAATCCTAAGCGAACATCCCTTGCAAACTTCCGCGTTTGAAAGCTGGTTAAAAGAACACCGAAAAATGTGGCACTCAAGGTTTCCGCGCCGTTTAAGAGTATATGAATATGATGCACTTCAATATTATGCCCCAAGTGGAGAAACAGTGCAGGTTCCGCGATTTGTTCGACCGTATGAAGTGCTCCAAATTGCTGCAAACGCACCTTTTCATGAAATCAAAGAATCGTTCCGAAGAAGTGCCAATCACAGCTCAAGACAGAAACGAGCCATGGCTTCTCTGGCGTACATTATTCTCGCGTCAAAGGATCAGCGATATAAGAAGACTGATTGGGGCACCTATGAAATCACAGACAAGAACTTAAATGACGTTATCGTGCTTGCAGCTATTGGAGCTACAACAAGACTACTCGCCCAGATACGGAAAAATAAGGGTTTGCTTACAAGCATCGATGAACACAAGCATACTTTACTGTATCTGACTGCTCGCTCTGGCTATTATGATACAACTGAGGCTCTGCTAAAAATGGGCGTTCAAGTGAACGAGACGCAGGTAGACGATAGTACAGCTCTGCATGTCGCTGCCTACTACGGTCAGCGTGGCATTGTTGGACTTCTGCTGGAATATGGCGCACATCCAGCGATGATAAACAGATGGGGGAATGCACCGACTAACGAGGCCAGTTCTGAAAAAATAAAGCAAGATATTCAGTGGTACAAGGATGATCGAATTTCACAGATCGTAACTTCCCTGATCGAAAAACAGCTGGTGCGAAGTGTCCGTCTGGTTAAACGCAGAGGCAAATTGATTGGAAAAGAAATTCTACGCCATGAAAATACACTTGATGTCAGGACAAGAAATAATTTGGATTTTATAACCTCCAAATGGGTCGCACTTTGGCATGGGACAAAATCCAGTAATATAGAATCTATCCTACGCTATGGACTTCTTCCAAGCGGAACAAAGCTCCAAAATGGCCTCACAATTAAACCACCCAACGGTCACATAAGGCTTGGCGTGAAGCACTTTGGTTTCGATGATTGGGCTAAAGCTATATTTCTCTCCCCAAGCATTGCTTACGCTTCCAACAGATGCTACTCCGAGCACATCTGGTCAAGTGGGGAAGACTGGTGCATCTTGATCAAGGCTTTAGTTGAACCCAAATCTTACACAAAACATGATCCCACGTTACTGAGACACAACCCAATCGAAGGAGAACCTGAAGCAACAGAGTACCGCATCCAGGTCTCAGAAAGGGACGCCATCATGCGCGTAGAGTCTGGCCGTCATGTGGTCGTCAGGTCCATCGTATTTATTTCACTTGACTTTTTGCAAAAAACACCAAATCTCCATTTTGAAGAGCTTATGTCTTGTTTTGACCACAGGCATCTCTTTTAAACTCATGGGGACAAGAGATCTGTGCATTATGGGGGAGGGGGGGGGGAGTGTGCTACTGGGTGACTCTAACGTTACTTTGGTCGGTCTGAATAAAAAGTCAGACATTGTTCTTCTTCCTTGAAAAGTAAAATTTGCTCTAAGCATTTGGCAAAAAACTCTGGCGCATGAACAGTTTCACAATGGCATTCCCACTGAATGTCGTTGCACCTAAAGCATTGTTTTGAAATGAATACATGTAAGTGTTTCAACTGTAAATGCTAAACGCATAGTTGAAGAATAAGTAAGTAGTATTATATTAAAAAAAGCAATTTTTACTTGAAATTGTCTTCGCCAAAAAAAAGTATAAACACTTACTTGGAAAACCTTGGCAGTTCTTAAAAGTTTTTATTAAAGTGCAAATTAAACCACTTGGCTACAACTTGTGTTTTAAAGTAATGTTTTGTACTCGGCACAATGTAGCTAACGATTACTTATAATCTCAAAAGATTGTTCAGTACCATAAACTGTTGTTCGCCGTTTTGTAAAGAGAGATTGATGTTTTTGCACATTATTGTAAAACATGAAAAAATGCCAGAAATTGTAAATAGATGTGTTGCCAGGAGTAATTTTATTTTTCTTGACAATTAAAAACTTACATACATGTATACTGGTACACAATATGGTGAACTTGAAACTTACTTTACTTTGTAAATAATATTATATTCTTTGTGTTGTTGTTTCTTTGGTTCAATATCTGTTCTACACTGAGGAATACATGTTTTTAAATATCGTGGAATAAAAAAGAGAGCCGTGAAAGTGTAAAAAGGGATGAAATGTGTTTGAAATGGACAAACAATGTGAACAATGTTTTATCAAACATGGCTGCAAGAAATGTGATTCATCTAAGGGGACACCCTCTGGACCAAGGAAAGTGTCCCCTGAATAGAGTTGTCCCCTCAATGGAGGTTGGGCTGGGGTTTGTTAATAATAACCAAAAATGACATATTTTTATTAGAGGGGAAAAAGGCGTCTGCTCTGGGGCTACAGAGACTACTGGAGTAATTTTTTCAAGCGGTTAGATAATGTATAAAAAATTATGATTAACTTATCTCTGCGATGTTGTGTGTTAAAATCACACAAAAGCAGTACATCGATTTAATTTAGACAATTCATGTATTGACAGCCGTTGCCATTGTGGCTGTCGCCATTGTGACTAGTGAACACGACTATTTTTGTGGTCAGTCACTTTTTGAGTGCTACGGACTGTCCCCCTTTGCATAATATCTTCAAAACATGACAAATATCATAAACATGACCTCAATCAGTAATTTTAAAGCTGCTGAAAATAATTATATCTCTGCTTAAGTTTTAGTTTTATCAACTTAATTATTAACTGACTGTTATTTATTTCATCATTACTATACCACCACTATTTACTACCTTATTAGCACATATTTATTTATTCATTTTTATTCTTGCACTTTGCACTGGAATTTGCTAGATGTCCTTATAGGATTTTGCAATTGAATTATGTAGATGTAGATGCAGATGGGCCCAGGCGCAGATCTAGGATAAACACTGACTGATTTCCTAAATGCGCGAGAACAGAAGGAGCAAGCCTCTAGGTGGTGCAGGGGCATGTTCCCCCCAAAAATGTTTTATGATTTTAACTCCTGAGAGTCTGCTTTCCAGTTATAATTGAATCATCTGCATATTTGTATAGTTGCATTTCTCTCATTTTCTTTCTTCGTGTTTTATTCGACTTCGTTTAAAAAATTAACATGGAATCCACTAGGATATTGAGTAATTTTTATTTTCAGTGGACAAAACCCTTGTACCAGAATAATTTAAAGAATATTGCATTCTTTTTTTACATTTTTCAAGGGCTAAAGATGTAATTAGTTATCTGTAGTAACACCAAAGAAAATTTCTGATGGGAGCCTGAAAAAATAAATGTAAAATTTCACAAAAATTACATCTTACACATGAAATTTTCAGAATTTTACCTGTGTTTTTGGACTCCCATGAGAAATTTTCTTTGTTGTTATAACAGATGACTAATTACATGTTAAGCCCTTAAAAAGTGTAAAAAAAATGTGATATAACCTAAAATATCCACTGAAAATTAAAATTACTCAATTTCCAGGTAGATTCCGTCTTAATGCCAGTAGCCTAAAAGCCATTCAAAAGAAAGTTGTCTATCAGAATCAGCCATCTTACTTTATTCAATTTAAAGTTTGCTCTTATTTAAAGCAGCTTTGAATTTCCTCTTTCCTTGTTTCTTCAATTAAAGGTTGTGATCTTCAATTACAACAGCTGTAGCTACAGAATTCCTGTCTCTACTACAAAAGATGGCCTACCTTAGGTTTCTTTTGCTTTTTCTTTGTTTTTCCTTTGGTATCACTGTCAGCATTCTATTAAGGTTTGTCAAAATAAAATTTGTTAAAAACTAATAATTAAAGTAGGCAGAATTTTTTTTCCAATATTAAGCACTTCAGCTGTAGCTTATAATAAGAGGCATTCTGTTACACGAGCAGTGCTGGAGTCTTAATGCTTTTAGATGATTTGTAGACTATTCACAGTCTCTTATTTTTCCATAAGATTGTCAGGATTGAGCACTGGCCCTTAAGGGTGGCCATCTTGGTTTCAGCTGTACTGAGACTAGCATGGGGATGAGTATGAAATGTACTTACAAGTAGGGGATGGGGACACTTTGGGATGGTTTTGAAAACAATGCATGCAGGGGAAGTGGCTAAAATCAACATTTCAAACAGTTTTATATCCTATCTCCTCCAAGAAATGCCAAGAAGAGTCTGCTCTACTTGACACCAATCAGACATCATCAATTCCTTCTTCAGTTTTGTTGGTCCAAAATGATCCAGAATAGCAGAAAATTAAAAGTTAAGCAAGCAGGTTTTTTGAAAGTGTTTTATAGAAAATGATGACTTTTCAATGACTTGTCAGCACATTAGCATCTATTGTCTTATGCCTAATCAGATGCCTCCATTGCTGCCGGAACAACATGCTCCTTGAACTCGAGTTGTAGTGATAATGTGACAGTCAGTCTATTTTTCCTGCCTCCCTATTAACCCCACAACCTGCCCCTCACTACATTTTAAACAAAGATGGCCACCCATAATGGTAAGCACTCTATCTCAACAATCAACAGGGAAAAATGGGCAACTGTAAACTGCCTACAGTGGTGTAGATGATTTGCTGTCACTCGATTACTCTCACGATAGTAAAATGTTTAAAATCTCACCTCTCTGGATTAAGCTCATGCATTGCTTGAGGGATGTACGCCCAACTTACTAAAATACTCTGCTTTTGCTGTTCTGTTTTTTGTGTGTGTGCCGGATAGGTACAACAACAATGACAACAGTTGGTTATGAAAGGTGGCAATTTGCCAACTGCAGGCTGCCATTTCTGCCGATGTTTAATTCCCATCCCCCATAACAAGCCAACTACGCAAACAACCCGAGGCAACTACACCTTCATATGTATTATATCCATGCTATTGAAAACATTCACATTGCCAGAAAGACATGCTCTGGAAAGCAGGGTACTTAAATAAAGGCTAAAACAGTATAGTTCAGTCAATCTAGGCATTTTTGAGCCTCAACATCAAACTAATTGCGACAGAATTGTTTTCAACCCATTTAAGTATGGGTGGCCTATCTAGCAATACACTAAAAATCCACCAGATTCCATTCGATGGAACCTGTCAAAACTAAGCATTAAAAAATTTGAGCTTTTAACATAGGATACCCATGTTAGTTGAAATTACACTTTCAAACAAAAAATGCACAAAATGTGTTTGTTACTTTTACGGAAAACTTAAAGAAAAAAGAATAATTGCTACCTAGTTATACAAAAGAGGTGTTTTTCTCTTCTATTGTTTGTTTTTTGAAAGGATAAATATTAACCACATGTACATTTGGCTATTGTACAGGAATCCCATGCTCCACTCAAGGAACCCAATAAAACAGGGGGCTTACAAAGTAATGAGTGAGCTGCAAGCTGTAAAATTACAACAAATTTAGTTGTAAGGCTTTAACTCTGAAAAATGAAAGTCATTACCTTATTATTAGCTTTAAAAATATATTCTTTTTACCAGATTTCTGTTAGAGCAAAGTTAAGAAAACTAATTTTATATATTCAGCTGGATTTTTGGAAAACATTACAGCCAAATTAGACGTCTCACCTCTAACAGTTTTTTTTTTCCTTCAAAAACCAAAGAAGTCTCTAAAGAAGTCAACAAAAAAATTAAGAGTGCAGCCATTGATTTTTATTATTTCCAGTTTCTTTTCTTTTCTCCTCACTATTGCTATTTTTTTCCTTTTCCTTTTCTTGACCTGCGATTTTTGGGCTCATGGAGGCAAAAAACTTGCCTCCTATTTTTGGTCTTTTTCTCAGTCAAACAGCTGCACTTTTCATTTGGTATGTTTTCAAAAATCCAGCAAGATATTCTTTTTGCTTTTATGGTTGCCTATACGTTAATTTTCGTTAACCTGCTGACATACTTAAATTAATTCAAGTTTTACTTTCTTGAAGCTTCTTGTTTTCTCCTTCTTGTTAAAAGTGAATTGGATCGGAGGTTAGGATACTTTCAATAATTTTTCATGATGCATAACAATGTAAAGTGTTTGAGCAGGTTATATTTTAAGCTCCAATGCTTAAATTATGATTTTGATAAGAAAAATAGGTTTTCATTTAAGGAAAAGTGTTGTTAACTTTGCAAAGAGAATGATACAATCAAAGGATATAACAGAGCATTCCTTACGTATACATGAGAACTTTGGTTCCAGAAAACGAAATAGTACAATAGGGAAGCACTTTATTTTAAGGGAAAGACTAACTTTGGGTAGCTGAAATAATGCATATTTAAAGATATCCAGTAAGAAGCCAGAAGGTTAACTAAGAGTTCAAGTGTTACACAATGGTAATCCAATGAGAAACACAGGTGAAGCACAACCGGGTGGGCCAGCAGCTAAGTCAGGTGAGCCCTTTATGTTGTACCTATGTCCAGTAATTTGGCACCTTCATTGACCAGTGCAATTATTTTCAGATGTATAGTATCCCATGAATGTTATAGAAAAAGAGGTCTTCACTTGCCAATTGAGGAAAAAAACTGGACGGTCAAGATTCAGGGCAGTTCCCACAAAAGAAATACAAGGAAGGAATTTAAACACCCTGAGATCACAGAGCAATAATATTATTAATCTACTTGTACATGTACCAAGAAATACAGGGCTGCCACAGAAAATAAAAACCAAACACACAGGTACAATAAACTAACTCTGAGACTCGCTATAAGGAGAAGATAATAAAACAACAATCACCCTGCGCTTGGTTTTCTGAATTTCCCTTGCGACAGAGGTGGCCAGGTGTCATGAGAAAGGCAGAGCATTATGATCTAGCAAAAATCCAGAGCAGTCAATCGCTAAAAATTGGTATTGATTTATCGATTGATAAGAATCCGTAAATCTGATATGATTGATATCGATGGTATCAATCAATTGGTAGAAGTTGATGACACACTCCTTTCATTCACCTGTATATCTTGATTTCTACAAATTTCATTGACTTATATTGGAAGATACATTTGTTCTTCTGTTCATCAAAAACTTGAAATCTGAAATCATGCAAAAAGTAAATTTTATTGTAGGTGCCCAGTTTTTCACGATTTGGATCTTCCACCCTCTCAAACTAACGTCAGTGTAGTTCAGGGTGTAGTTACATCCTGGAGTAGTCAATTGATAAAAATCCGAATCAATAAAAGAGTGTTTTAATGGACAGTTAAAAGGTTTAATTTATATTATGCTTGGAAGTTCTACTTATTCAGATAACCCCTATTAGATGGGGGCTTTTGTATCGAGTAAATCATTCCTGTGATTCCTCATAAGCGAGAGCAACCCACCCCCTCTCCCGGGTTATCAGGTGCAACTAGTTTTGTGCTTCGCAATAAATGATTATTTACCCCATCTCTGAGTGTGTGCTTGCTTGTGATAGTAATTATCTATCAAATCTAAGATTCATGAGAAAAAAACACAATTATCGGATCTTTTGCCTGAGTTAGTGTGATCTTGCTCAAACTGGGTTTCCTGTGGTGAAACTTGAACAAATCTTTCACGTTCCACCATACGGATTTTGGCGGATTTTTAGTATGTTGTTAAGCATGAGTAGCCATCTAACAATTAAGCTCAAATGGCGTTAACAATTCTGTTGCAATTAGTTTGATCTTAAACCACAATTTGATTGGACTAGTAGGAGAGTACTTCACGCATAATAAATTCATGGGGCTGTGTCGAAATCTTACTCTAGACATTGTAGAAGAAATTTTCTCGCGAAAAGTAAAAATCTAATCGGTACTTAGAGCTGCTTAGAGTGTATAATACTCACATGGTCATCTGTCGTTCGCACATCTACTTCTTTACGGCGCCTTTTTTCACCCACTTTGTCTTGTGGCAAGAAATTTAAGAATTAGATAGAGAGAAAATACTTTTATATAAATAAAAGTTTGATTTTTTTTGTTAAGAAAATTACCTCTGTTTTCAACGTCTTGTTCCAACCACCATTCATCATCCAAAGCGTCCGCCATTTTCATTCAAGACGGGTGGTACTGGTAACTAGTGATAGCGACTCCTGCAGTTGAAAAAGGTCTGGGCTGTGGAAGTGCTGTGGCGTCAGATCTTAACGTCAGATCGGGGAGGTGTTCTCCTGCAGACTCCAGCAGTTGAAAGAGTAGCCTGCGAACAGCAGACGCATTTCCGGTAGTCGCTTCTCTCCCTAGTTTCAGTTTCCTCTGAGGGGGTCTTGTTTTGTTCTGCGTCCGAGAATAAGCAGAAGTCATGCGTCCATCTGTTGGTTTATGAACACAGCTTTCCATCGGTAATTCGTTTCCCTTTCTTTAAAGGAGCTTGTGATCTGTTGCCTCCTCCAGTGATGGAAGAAAATGCCCGCCTGTTAAAGTGAACAATCAATTGTTATTTACAAATAATAAAAGCAAGCACTCAACATGCTCAAACATGATTACCGCTCGATCTTTCCAGAAAACCGATAATTTATAATGAATATAACTCGAATAAACTTGCGGCAAAAGATCGTGAGGATATTAAAGGGGATGCAGGGGTGGATCTAGTTCAGAAAGGGATAGCCGGCCGCGATGCTTGCCAGCTATATAGATCCTTTTTATTTTTCTGAGAATTTTATAAAAATAATACAAAATTTTAACAACATTCCTGCAAAACGAGTTGAATAGCGATGTTGCGCATTTTAACACCAACGAATCATACCTGTCTTGCAACAATTCAGGTTTTTGCAGGTTTTTTAAGTAAAGAAAGTGTGGATCTACTTTAATTTCTACTCAGTCCCCGGGAAGCAGCGTGAGGTACTGGTTAATTAGAGCGCTGGACTGGCAATAGATCCCTTCACGGTTGTAACGGCATAATGGGTAATCAGGACAAGACGGTGGGAAAATCGAAAGTTTGCATGAGAATACAAAGTCAACTAATTCTTGCTAATTAGATATATTTATCACATTCCCTTTTGAAAAATGTACCTAATGAACGTAAAAAAACTACACACTAAATCTGGAGTTCGTAGCGGTCCTTTGTTGCTTTTTAGAAAATCTGAGTTCTTTCATACATTTGAAATCTGTAATCCGACCACACAAAAATTACACATAGTGTATCAAGGGTCCACAATAGGTGTGGCGGCCTGAGGGATTTGGCTAAAAAAAAGGAGGGCGTAGCGGGAATTTTGATAACGAGCGGGAGTGGGATGGGTTGTGATGCGGGAATCGTAAGGGAAAAAAGTGGGATACGGGAATTTACTGAGTTTGTCGTGACCGTAACTTTTATTTAATTAAGCAGCACTGAATGACTCTTTTCATGATATAGACCGCCTTTGCGGTGTCTAGAGCAGAAAACGAAGAGTTAGACTTGGAAGAGACGCAAAAAATACCCGGTTTTATACAGTCTCCTCGCGGAAATTTTACGCCGTTATTTGGCACCTTTTACAACCTATTGTGAGGGGAAAAAGACATTGTTTTGCAGGCTATTACAGGTCGCACGAGCCTATTTTTGTGCGAAGTTAAGAATGGAAGAAAATAACGAGATTTTAAACAGGAATGAGTACAACCAGCGGTGCAAAAGGGGAGGAAATCGACGACCAAGCCCAAGAAAAGTGGGAAAGCAAACTTTCTGCCCTGGAGGTCCCGCGTTCGGCGATGTTGAGACTGAGCCAGTCCTCCAAGACATCTCCGGCGAACAGTTAAGCAGATGATCTTACAAAGCTCAAGATGCGAGATTGGATATCCACGTGCTTGGGTTCTGGGAGCGCCATCGATCGGCATTCTTTGATGTGAGAGTCTTTCACCCTAATGCTGAATCGTATAAGGACCTTTAGAGCCACAACAGATCTATCCAGTATCCATGAGAACGAGAAAAGGCGTCTGTACTCAAAGAGAGTTCTTGACATTGAGCATGGAACATTTACACCTTTGGTCTTCACCACAACTGGCGGAATGGGAAAGAAGTGCTTAATTTATCATATAGTCGTTTAGCACAGCTGATTCAAGAAAGGGGAGCAGTATGCCAAAACTATCTCATGGATCAGAACCCGAACAGATCATTCGCACTCCTGAGATCTGGATTAGTTTGTCGTAGAGGCTCTAGGGCAAGCAGAGTGCCATGAGATATTAAGAGCGAATGCACAGGAAAATCGAGCAAACCGTGGCCACAGCTCAAAACCTAACCTACCCTCATTTTAAGTCTGTAATAAGGTGTTAATGAGTTTATAACACTGCTGAGGTTTAAATTTCAAAATGCGGCCGAGTTTGGGAATTATTTGAGATTTTCGATTTCAACGGTCCGCGGGCCTAAAATTAGCCGCCGAACACGGCAATATAGCCTAGCGACAGAAATGAGCTGACTTTCATAAACGAGCCAATATATTGGCAATCTTCCGCTTAAATCTCAAAAAACAGATATTAACAATTTCTAAACAGCACATTTTTTTAGATTTAGAGCATAAAATATCGACGAACGAGCACAATTTTGAAACGTAATTTGCATAATGTTTATAAATACAACAATTTACCGCTGAAACCAAAATCGAATTTTCTTTTCTGGGGGAATTCTCCAAATCACCCCAAATCCCGCTTACTACCTAATGAGATATAGTACTTCAACATTATCTGAAAGTTAGTCTGGTGTTCTCGCGAACGCTTGTAAAATAGATTGATTATTTTGAGGTTGTTTTGCCCCAAACAATCGCTAATTGACCCCAGGGCCAGTTGACACGTACACGTCACCTTAGTTTTATGCATCGATTTGAGCTCGTTAAAAGGGAGAAACTAACAAGAGTTTTTTTAATATGTACCTGTTTTAATGAAATACACGCAATCCTCAAAAGGATAGGCAGTTCAATGGGTAATGTCTGTTCTTGAGATCTTGTAGATTGTACCATGGCGTCTGCGAGTGGACCTGAGTCTAGGTCTGTTTTCCCGTGACTGCGAAATCAGAATAACATCATGAAATAATTCTCGCTCGAACCTTCGTAAATGAATCCGCTTTGCAGTGCCTTACCTGAGATAAAAAGTGGGCCGAATAGGGAAACATTCTAGCGCAATTTGGATCCTTTGCAGAACGTAGTGTATTTGCTAAGGACTTTTAATTAGTTACTCACCTCCGATTGCGTGACCAGGCAATTATCGATTGTCTCCTGCGAAAAATAAGTGCACGGGAAACCAAAGCTTTCGGGATACAGTAAATTCATTTTCCTGTATGACCAGGTGTCCTTTTTGTCCTATTTTAAAAAGCGGTTAACTAAGATGATTAGCAAACATACTGTCCCACTTTTAAAAAATGGTACAGTAACTGAATCTTCTGTTCTTCTGATTTTACCCCAACCCCGGAGTGTTTAGAAGATATATATATTTGCACTACGCATGAAAGGCAAATGGATTAAATTTTAAGGTTCAAGGCGGTTTTTAAGGCATGGGTTACCAGTGGATTAATCAGACTTCTCATAAGGTGCATTGAACGGAAAATTACAGGCATGATATCTCTGCTATTGTATATATGTCCATTAAGTGATTTTCCAGCAAACATTTTTGACTTTTTTACCCCAAAAGTTTTTCCGTTCAATTCTTATTTATGAGATCTAAACTTAGTTAAATTTCTGTAATTTGTTGTTAAATGCAATTCTGCAAACAACTAAGTATTTAATTTTTGTAAAAAAGCTACATGAAATTGTACTGTTTAGCCGTAAATCATAAAAAGAAAGCATCATGCTTTCTCTTTTCAAGTCTAATAGGACTTAAGCAATGGCATTGCTTAAGTCCCAGTAGTTGTTCTCCATGTCTGCTAAGGAGGAAATAGTTTGCTCTTTTCAAGAAATTGTTCTTGCCCATTGCGGTTTCAAACCAAGGATAGCAACAAGTCTGTCGTGGTCATATACTGCTACTTCAGTGCAAACGAAGCATAGGCGCACAAGTCAGCGCTTGCGTTTAGTCAGGTGCCGAAAATGAAGTGGAGGGCGTCCATGTTCGCTCCGGCTCGAAAAAGGTAGAATCAGTTGTGCAGTAAAAAAAGTAATGCGAAAAACCTGCGTGGGCTGGGGAAAGAAAGGCGTCTTATTTTTCTTTGGCTTGTTCTATTTTCGCGACGTGGTACCAGGCTACGAAATACTGACAAGCTCAGGATATGTCTTCACCACCGAGAGTCACTTGCCCTTAGCCGGACACACCCCTCACGTATCATGTTTGAGGGTCGTGAAGGGGGGTACCAAATCCCAGTTCCCAGCCTAAATTTGGCCCAAATCCCAGTTCCCAGGCTAATTTTTGCCAAAATCCCAGTTACCAAATTTTCGGTGTGTATAACGGCGTTATTTGCATTGACGTACTTGATTTCTAGTACCATTTTGCGAAGAAACCTTTTCCGAAGCCATTTTATCTTCCCTTCACAATATCTTCCCGCCATATGCAAACTTGCGGAACTTGTCCGCTGACCAGGAAAACTGACAGAACGTAACTATGCAACCGTGTAAGCCTGGTAGCTAGACCGCGGGTGCGAAGGCGAAAAATACTGATTTCACGGTCTCTACTGAGGAGTGCAAGGGTCTATTGCTACGAAATTTTATTTTTCTATTTCAAAATATTGGAGCAAAGACCACTGAAGAAAAGAAATCCCATTCCCATTTTATAATTGTTCATCCCATTCCCCAGTGGCTAAATCCCAGTCCCAGTGAGTAAATCCCATTTTCCCAGTCCACAATAAGGCTAATCCCAGTTCCCATTTTACCCCTTCACGACCCTCATGTTTGTTCCTAAAGTTATTTCAAAGCACAGAACCAAACCTAATCAGCGGCCGAAGGCAGAAAAGGGATGAGCAAACGGATGTCACAGCATATTTTGCAAGAAACTGGTATCCTTGTGCCTATCGGCTCAGGAACGATTAATTACTACTAGAATTAGTATCAGGGTCAGAATTTGAGTGTCACAATGGGAGGAAAGGAAGAAAAGGAAACCGCCGCGCACACCTGTTAAGTCTTTTATAAACTTTCTCGTCCTGACAGTTTCAAGGTATAGAGTGTTTT